TGTTGAGGACTCATTGAAGGTAAAGGCTGAAGGCCTACAGGTCTATAGCCAAATTGGGGTGGACGATATCCGAATTGCATTTGATTGTTATTAGGTTGTGGTGGTCGATAATAATTTCCTAAACTGTTAAACTGTCGCTGCTGACCTTGAGTCGGTAGCGGTATTTGCACCTGCTTATTCGGTGGAATGCCAAAATTATATCTAGGTGGTTGGTTCATTTGCATAGACCATTTGAAAAGGCGACCGCTCAGACCCGTCCAACTACAGGCATATCGCTATCACCTCCTTGTTCTCCAAAATAATGGAATCCATTATAAACTGCCAGCTCATGAGGTACCTTGAAGATCACCAGCTGATCAGTGACCGTCAGTACGGTTTTCGTCGGGGTCGATCAGCGGGTGATCTTCTAGTTTACTTAACTCATAGATGGGCGGAGGCAGTAGAGTCCAAGGGGGAGGCATTGGCCGTTAGTTTGGACATAGCGAAGGCCTTCGATTGGGTCTGGCACAAGGCGCTTCTTTCGAAGCTTCCTTCCTATGGGCTTCCCGAGAAATTGTGCAAATGGATCACCAGTTTCTTTGCTGATCGGAGCATCAAGGTCGTAGTAGACGGTGCATGCTCTGATTACAAGCCTATCAACGCTGGTGTTCCACAAGGCTGCGTGCTATCACCAACGCTGTTTCTCCTGCATATCAATGATATGTTGCTAACTGGTAGCATTCATTGCTATGCAGACGACAGCACTGGGGATGCCTTATATACCGGCCGTGCCAATATTTCTCGGGAAAACGTCGCCGAGTACCGGAACAAACTTGTGTCTGAAGTCGAGTCTTTGCTTAACAGTCTCGGATTGGGGCCGACTAAATCTAATCCAGTTCAATCCCCAGAAGACACAAGTTTGCGCGTTTACCGCTAAAAAGAACCCCTTTGTCGTATCTCCTCAGTTTCAAGGCACTCCCCTTGCTGCCTCAGCCAGTATCGGAATCCTTGGCGTCGACATATCGAATAGCGTGCAGTTTCGTGGTCACTTGGAAGGGAAGGCCAAATTGGCCTCTAAAAAGCTTGGCGTGCTCAGCAGAGCGAGACAGTATTTCATGCCGGCACATCGCTTGCAACTTTACAAAGCGCAAGTTCGGCCCCACATGGAATACTGTTCTCATCTCTGGGCCGGGGCACCCCAGTGCCAGCTCCTTCCACTTGACCGCATCCAGCGGAGAGCGATTCGAATCGTCGACGACCGAGTTCTTTCCGATCAGCTCGATACACTGGCACTGCGTAGAGATGTTGCATCTCTGCGTATTTTATCGCATCTATCACGGGGAGTGCTCTGAGAAATTGTTCGGACTAATTCTAGCCGCTCAATTTCACCATCGCACGTCGCGACAAAACTCGCGTTACCATCCGTACCATCTGGATGATTGGCGGTCCACCACTGTGCGATTTAGAAGAAGTTTTCTCCCTCGCACAACTTCTTTGTGGAATCAATTACCACCAGCGAATTTTCCGAACCGATACGACTTAGGAACCTTCAAGAAAAGAGCTTACACCTTTCTAAAAGGCCGGCAACGCATCTGCAATTCCCTTGGTGTTGCGGTTGTTTATGGGCGGCGGTAGTCACTTACCATCAGGTGAGCCGCAAGCTCGTTTGCCCCCTATTCTATAAAAAAAAAAACTTAAAACTATAAGACTGTTGAGGTAGAGTGTTATTATTAGCGAATTTAAATGATGGCGAATTGTTATGCGATTGCGAATGAGATGTGAGATTGGATCCAGACATTTTGTTTCTCATTTGGTACTGACTATGGAAGTTAACTTCTTCTAATACAGTACAGAGCGCATCGCACACCGACTAATGCAGCTGCATTACCGATAAGGCGGCTTGTTATTGTATTCATCACGTACAAATTCTGTTGCGTTGAGCCATTAAGTTTAGTTAAAACATATTCACACATTCTTAAAAATAGATTTAAGTGGCGTTTGTCACCATCAAACAAAGGAATGATTTTAATCATTTCACCAGGGATAAGTGTAATACTCTCCATAATTATGTATTTTTTTTTACACACAAACAATATAAAAAGAATATAAAATAAATCTGACTAAATGTCACACAAAATATTAAGGAATAAATTGTACCTATATGATTAATAAAAATATTTCTTTGTAAAATTATAATTTCTTGTATATGGTACTTATTAAAATAGGTAAAACTTAAATTATATAACAATTTTTTTTAAACTATTTAACCAGAATACGTTAAAATGAGAGAAGTTCGATTTCAAGATAACAGAACGCCGAGGTAGTGGAAAGGATGGTGAAAAGTTCTACTCACCAGCCACCAACTGCTCTCATGGTCCAGGATCAGTTCCGCTTCCTTGACGAATTTGATTTGGTTCGAGCATCGTTCTCGGTATTTTCTCCAATTCCGACAGATTTTTATATCGAATTCGCGAAGGACGTAACACTACCGAAGTGTGACGATCCTACCGGCTGCGCCAGTCAAGTTTACGGGAACGTAAAATGATTTTTTAAAAACTATTTAAAATCTATATATTTCTAATTACAATAATTATAATTCTAATTACTTAATTAATACGTCTTGACAGAAGTCTATGTCAAAACGAAGTGGCCGCTCCCATGAGCTCTGCCTGATATCTCATGCAACCAAAAGCGCTGACTCTACAGTTACTGGATACTGCCTAATGCTTATGCAGCCCCCTCTAGGTACAAACCCTAACAACCCTATGGTCTTGTGGTTGCATAACTATCTTTTCTATCACCCCCCAAATAACATATTATAGTTATTTACAATTAATTGTGAACTAGTTTGACAATATAAATTAATTAATATTGTCAAACAAGTTCACAAACCCTTGATGTTCTGACGACCGTGACGAGTCTTGGCGCTGACATACGACACCCACGTAGAAAGTTTTGCGAATCCAAGTTTTTACCAAAAATACAAAAGAAACGTGCCAGTTTAAAATAAAATTATTTAGGTACAAGTAAAAACAGGAATGTTTGAATTTCAAATATCTTTCTACATATAATTAGGAAGTTAATTGAAAATATCGTGTTTCATTAAAAATGGATCAGCGTCGGAAACGAAAACACATTCGCTCGATGATTTTTGCGATTTCAAATGTAGGCAAAATCCGAACGAATATCTTAATATACCGCTGGTATAAAATGAGAAAATATTAAGAAGAAATTCAGCCATTAATTTAAAAAGTAAAGATACGGTCGTCCTACGTGTGGCTGACGCGTATGCCGTATTAAAAAAACCTGCGCTATCTACTAGGGTGTAGGAGTGGGGAAGACCCTCAATTACCTCTTTAATTGTGATGTGTGTAGGCAAGCAGGGGCAATTTTTAAGTCGGCCCTGCGGCAGGACGGCGGGAGCGCAAGACCTTCCTTGCTCCCTAGATCGGCCCTGCCGCTGTCGCGTGTGTAGCGCAATTGGGGCAATTTCAATCAGTCCGTTGCGACTTTCGCGCGGAGCTCATGTATGAGTACAAGTCAAAACCGCAGAAAGAACGTTATTTGAACGTTGTAACTTACAAGTAACATTACTGGGATTTGTTACCTAACTTATCATAAGGGCTAGTATGGGAAAGAATATATTCCAATAGTATTAAAATTGCTGGAATATAAATAAAATTTCATTAACTAAATAATTAAACAAAAATACAAATTTTAGTAATTAAATTTATTAAAACTCATCATTAGAAAACTATCCCAGCTATTTGTAACATTAGTTAAATTATAGCTACTAAGCACTAGATAAGTTAAGTTATATCACAGAATAAATTGGTTATATTAAATTATGACGAGTGAAGTTAGTCATGTTTAATTGTCTTTGATAGCCTAAAAATAGTGTGGCAGAGCTATGCTGCAGCTTATAAGCACTATATTATGGTTGTAATTGTTAATTAATTAGTTGTTTTATTGATAAATGTGGGTGTCTATGGGCCACAGTGTCCACTTACCATCAGGTGAACTGTGCTTATTTGTTCCCTTATTCTATATAAAAAAGAGTCAAGGATATATATACCGATTTATTGATAGTTCGATAAAACTGGCGTCATTCTCAACGCGTGCGTCCAGCGAGACGTATACTCTCATACTGAACGGCAGGCGTGTGTGTAGAGACAGCTCTGATATTGCTCCGATCGCTGTGCTCCCTAGATTGCCCCTGCGGCAGGCATGTCAGTAACGGCCTTAAAAGACGTATCCTTGTGCACTTACAAGTTCTCTATTTATTTTAGCAGCGTTTGAAAAAGCCATAGAAGAGATGTTTGAGGCGGACTGAAAAAAATGTTTCGAAAATTCGTTAAGACGCATTAAACTTCATTTATATCTGAGACGTGGTCCTTCACTGCTGGCCGTATGAGGACACTCAAGGTCGCTATGCAAGGTGGCTATGGAGAGGGCTATGCTCGGAGTTTCTCTGCATGAGAAATGAGGATATCCGCAGTAGAACCAGAGTGACCGACATAGCCCAACGGATTAGTAAGCTGAAGTGGCAATGGGCCGGCCATATAGCTCGAAGGACCGACAACCGATGGGAAAGAAAGGTTCTCGAGTGGCAGCCTCGTACCGATAGTCGAAGTGTAGGATGACCCTCCATCAGATGGAGTGACGACCTAGTAAGAGATGGAGGAAGTCGATGGATGCAGGTGGCTGAGGACCGTGCTTTGTGGCATTCCTTGGGGGAGGCCTATGTTTAGCAGTGGACTTGTGAAGGGCTGTAATGATGATGATGAAACTTCATTTATATACTTTCATAAAATTCTGGTGGAAATTTCCTTAAAAAAAAATTGTAAACTTTAACCATAGGACTTTTTAAGTACCGCAGAATTTTCTGAGAGGCACACGTATTTGGCCTTGTGTGTGGGGATTGGCGAACTCCAAACAGACAACTGTTGCATTTTATAACATTAATTTGCATTTAAAATATTTTTACAAATTAATAACAATTGATTTTTTTTATATTTAAGTATGAGAATAGAAGTTGTAGGTAACAACGTAAATGCCAGTGGAGGCTCCAATACGCTATACCCGAACTTGAACGATGAAAGAGTTGGTGTGGCTTCAACGTCTGCCGTTATAAATAACAATACTCCACCTCACATAGTCCAAAGACCAAGATATACACCAATTGCATCTACTTCAACTGGTAATTCAAGCTTTGAATTTGTTAACAATGAAACTACGAGGTAAGTTGGTCGCTTTAGTAAAGATATCGTTTTTATTTGCATTTAAAGTTACTTTTAATAATAAATAAACTTCTTTGTTAGGGTTATTCCTTCAGCGCCTCCAGCACCATCAAATGAACCAACAAAACCAAACAGGTAGTTAATTCGCTACTAATTTATTTTAAATTGTGGGAACAATTATTGTTTATCTTTGCATGTGGTCATAACGGAAAATATTATTTTATTTGCGTATTTTCAAACTTTTAAACAATATATATCTATGACTTCTTAAATAAAATTCCTTACTTTGATATTTTGTAGCCTTCACATGTTATGTTGTTTCATTTTCAGACAACAACCTAAGAAAAACAAAGAAAGAAATGAATTTAGCTGCCCGACATGCGGCAACAGATTTGGGTTAACTATATTCCAATGCGGTAGTGGACATAGTTCGTGTAGTGATTGTAAAGCAAAGGGTGGTTTGTGCGGTACATTAAACTGTGGTAAAACAATAACCGACATGAGAAATAGAACACTTGAAGCTTTAATTGCTGACATCAATTTAACAGCTAATACATCTCAGTCGTCAAATGGAGCTAAAAAATCAGAGGTAAGAAAATGTATGTAATAAATACCACATGATCGTAACTAAATATACTAAAATAATGCCGTGTAGTGGCGGTCAAGAATACCACTACCCCATATCCTCCCGTGGGTGTCGTAAAAGGCGACAAAGGGAAACAGGCAGGAGATGGGCAGCAGCATCTTCCTGATAATAGCCAAAATTACAATAAAAAAACTGCGGTTGCCAACCCGCTCGCCAAGCGTGGCAACTATGGCAATATACCCCCCATAATGAAAGTTACGAAGAGACGGCCCCCAGTCCCCGGCGGCCCCGCTATTCCTGGCTACGGTGGCGACCATGGTAACGGCGGGGCAGGGGGTGCTAAGAATCTCCGGTGGAGGTTCGGTTGCCACCTTAGACGACTCGACCTGGCAACGTACAACGCACGCACCCTGAGGACTGACGAGAAGATCGTGGAGCTGGAAGAAGAGATAGACAAGTTGCGCTGGCATATTATAGGATTATCCGAAGTCCGAAGAGAGGGGGAGGACACGGTAATCCTCGAATCCGGCAACTTGCTCTATCACCGGGAGGGCGACCATCTGTCCCAAGGAGGTGTCGGATTTATCGTCCACAAGTCTCTCGTTAACAACGTTGTAAAGATCGGGAGTGTGTCGACGAGGGTTGCGTACCTTATACTCAGAATCACCAAACGGTATTCGCTGAAGGTCATACAGGTTTACGCACCAACCTCGGCACACCCCGATGGGGAGGTGGAGGAAATGTATGAGGATATCTCTAGAGCCATGCATTCCTCCAAAACCCAATATACGGTGTTAATGGGAGACTTCAATGCAAAACTAGGCACAAGAGAGAACGGTGAGCTGAAAGTAGGGAAATTTGGAATAGGGCAACGGAACCCAAGGGGCCAGCAGCTGGCCGACTTCATGGAGAAAGAGGGACTCTTTATGATGAACTCTTTCTTCAAGAAGCGGCCCCACAGGAAGTGGACCTGGTCGAGCCCCGACGGTTCGACAAAAAATGAGATTGACTTCATTATGACGACCAGACGACAACTGTTCAGTGATGTCTCCGTGATCGCGAGGGTGAAAACTGGTAGCGATCACCGAATGGTTAGAGGCACACTGAACCTAAACGTTAAGTTGGAGAGGTCTCGTCTAATGAAGTCAACGCTCCGTCCCCCTCGTGCTCTGTTCCAAAGTCCCGAAACCTTTCAGCTCGAGTTACAAAACCGTTTTCAGTGCCTAGAAGACTGCAATGAAGTGGACGATATGAATGACAAGCTCGTGGAAACTGTCCATGCGGTCGGAGCTAAGTTCTGCAAGACCCGCCGCAGAAGAACACAAAAACTCTCCGATCACACTCTTAATCTCATGGCTGTTAGACGGGAGATGAAGCTACATTCTTCAACAGACTTGACAGCATACAGGCATCTGAACAGACAGATCTCCAAATGCATGCGGCGGGACTTACGCAACTTCAATACAGCTCGTATTGAAGAAGCGATCGAGCGGAACCAAGGCTCCAAAGTCTTTGCCAGAGATCTGTCTGCCAGAAAGAGCCACCTGTCAAAGCTGAAGACAGAGTGTGGCAGCATCGTTTCCGGGACACCTGAGATTTTGAGTGAGATTGAGAGGTTCTATGGGCAGCTGTACACGTCATCGTTGGAGCCACACGCAAGTGTGAGTAACGATCCAAGAGCGAGTCTCATCCGACACTATTCCGAAGATATCCCGGACGTCAGTCTAAGCGAGATTAGAATGGCTCTCCAGCACCTTAAAAACGGTAAGGCCCCAGGCGAGGATGGAATTACAGCGGAGCTTCTGAAAGCGGGTGGAAGACCGGTACTTGAAGTCCTTCAGAAGCTCTTTAATTCCATCCTCCATGGTGGCATTACACCGGAGGCGTGGAGCAGAAGTGCGGTGGTCTTGTTCTTCAAGAAAGGTGACAACGCTCTCTTGAAGAACTACCGACCGATTTCCCTTCTGAGCCGCGTCTACGTGCTGTTTTCGAGAGTCATTACGAATCGTCTCGCGCGCAGACTTGACGACTTCCAGCCTCCCGAACAAGCCGGTTTCCGAAAGGGCTTTAGCACCATAGACCACATACATACCCTTCGGCAAATTGTACAGAAGTCCGAAGAGTACAATTTGCCACTATGTCTGGCGTATGTGGACTATGAGAAAGCCTTTGATTCCGTCGAAATTTGGGCGGTGCTGCAGTCCCTTCAGCGGTGCCAAGTTGACTGTCGGTATATCGAAGTGTTGAAGTGCTTGTACAGTAGGGCTACGATGGCTATCCGAGTACAGAACCAGAGTACGAAACCTATCCAATTGCAGAGAGGTGTAAGACAGGGTGACGTCATATCCCCGAAACTCTTCACCGCTGCATTGGAAGACGTTTTCAAGCTTCTGGACTGGAAAGGATACGGTATCAACATCAATGGCGAGTACATCACTCACCTTCGATTTGCCGACGATATAGTCCTTATGGCAGAATCGCTGGAGGACCTAAGCCCTATGCTCAATGACCTCGATAGTGTTTCCCAACGGATAGGTCTTAAGATGAACATGGACAAAACAAAGATCATGTTCAATGTCCATGTCACACCTATGCCGGTAGTTGTTGGGAGCACTAAGCTCGAAGTTGTTGACGAGTATGTTTACCTGGGACAAATAGTCCGACTAGGTAAGTCCAACTTCGACCGAGAGGTCCATCGACGGATTCAACTCGGCTGGGCAGCGTTCGGGAAGCTACGACACATCTTCTCGTCAGACATACCTCAAAACCTGAAAACGAAATTGTACAACCAGTGCGTGTTGCCAGTGATGACTTATGGAACTGAGACGTGGTCCTTCACTGCTGGCCGTATGAGGAAGCTCAAGGTCGCTCAGCGAGCTATGGAGAGGGCTATGCTCGGAGTTTCTCTGCGTGATAAACTTAGGAATGAGGATATCCGCAGTAGAACCAGAGTAACCGACATAGCCCAACGGATTAGTAAGCTGAAGTGGCAGTGGGCCGGCCATATAGCTCGAAGAACCGACAACCGATGGGGAAGAAAGGTTCTCGAGTGGCAGCCTCGTACCGGTAGGCGAAGTGTAGGGCGTCCCCCCACGAGATGGAGTGACGACCTGGTAAAACATGCAGGAAGTCGATGGATGCAGGTGGCTCAGGACCGTGCTTTGTGGCATTCTTTGGGGGAGGCCTATGTTCAGCAGTGGACTTGTGAAGGGCTGTAATGATGATGAAATGATGATGATGATGATGATGATCGTAACACGAATGTTAAAAATTCGAATAAAATATTTATTATTGTTATTCTCAAATCTAACTTATCTTACAGTGGTTAAAGTAGAAATCACCTAATTAACGTTAGCGATATTTTTACTGATATCGCGATTTAAATCATAAACGATAATTAAAAGTTTAACGGACAAGGCTTTGTCGACGTTTTCCACCGAAATATACCTATTAGAAAGTTATAACAAATTCTTAGTTTCTCGTTGCCACAACTGTTCTTTTTTTATTTAAATGTAATCGACATAGCAATACTTGTCGTAAGTTATGTTACCATTTAAAAATTGCAACGTAACCGACCCTGCTTGTTATCGCAACTGACATGGTACATCATGATTTCACCGTTTACCATCAACAAAACTGTGAAGACGTCTCGTGAAAAGTTTATTTTAATAACCACCTCTTTGCACCAAACATTAATTAAGTCGTTATACATAACTTACCTTGGTACAACTAGTTCTCATTGAGGTGGTGTGATAGTGTTGAATAGTGATTTACTGCAAACATTATCACAATTGTTATCACATCACACTTTTGTATGTGGTAGAGCTATACTGCAGCTATATTAGTAGTATAGTTGCAGCACGAATGGGTCGGCTCGACCGACGAAGGACCACGCCCTCACGGAATACTAGCATAAAATAGCAGCTTAACACTGTTGTGTTTCGTATGGTGAGTGTAGAGAACCGGAGACCCTTTTTACTAGAAAAGAGGCATTCCATCTTAGTCTTCAAGGCTGACAACGCATCTGCATTTCGACTCTTTGATGGGTCACAGGAGCCACTTTCCTTTAGGTGGACTGTGTGCTCTTATATCTTATAAAAAAACATACACCTATTATCTTTTCATATGTCATAAAAAATACAAAAAGCTATGAGTGAACTTTCTACGTATCTAAAATACCGAGTCAGATTTTTGTTCATTACTCTCAAGGATTAAGGATATGCACAATGGCACTACATTCTCTAACAGAAGATAGCTATACTAGATAGCTCCAATCAAATCCAAACAGCTTCTGAGGGTAGACAGCATTAATATTAACATAAAGAATTTTATGCTTGTTCTACTTATAGCAATGGAAAGGGACTATGATTAAGATCTAATAAGTGACATCTTACGCGATATATTCGTTTATAATTTTATTTTTAGTAAAAAATACTAGTAATGCTATAAACATTACTAATATTCCCTTAAACCACTTCTGGTAAGCTTAAAATGCTTGTGTTAGAAGTGGTTCACGACAGTAGTCGAATGGTGGATTCGAACTCACGACCGACCGAAAACCGGCAGCGATCACCTAATGGTGAGAGGCACACTGAACCTAAACGTTATATTGGAGAGGTCACGTCTAATGAAGTCAACGCTCCGTCCCCCTCGTGCTCTAATCCAAAGTCCCGAAACCTTTTAGCTCGAGCTACGAAACCGTCTTCAGTGCAAAGAAGATTGCAATGCAGTGGATGATATTAATGACAAGCTCATGGAAACTGTCCATGCGGTCGGAGCTAAGTTTTGCCCGACCTGCCGCAGAAGAACACAAAAACTCTCCGATCAAACTCTTAATCTCATGGATGTTAGACGGGATATGAAGCCACAGTCTTCAGTAGATTTGACAGCATACAGGCAACTGAACAGACAGATCTCCAAATGCATGCGGCGGGACTTACGCAACGTTAATACTGCTCATATTGAAGAAGCGATCAAGCGGAAACAGGGCTCCAAAGCCTTTGTTAGAGATCTGTCTGCCAGAAAGAGCCAACTGTCGAAGCTGAAGACCGAGTGTGGCAGCGTCGTTTCCGGGACACCTGAGATTTTGAGTGAGATTGAGAGGTTCTATGGATAGCTGTACACATCATCGTTGGAGCCACACGTAAGTGTGAGTAACGATCTAAGAGCGAGTCTTATCCGACACTATTCCGATGATATCCCGGACGTCAGTCTGAGCGAGATTAGAATAGCTCTCCTGCACCTTAAAAACGACAAGGCCACAGGCGAGGATAGATTTACAGCAGAGCTTCTGAAAGCGGGTGGAAAACCGGTACTTGAAGTCCTTCAGAAGCTCACTAATTCTGTCCTCAATGGTGCCACCATATCGACGTGCTGAAGTTCTTGTACAGTAGGGCTACGATGGCTATCCGAGTACAGAACCAGAGTACGAAACTTATCCAACTGCAGAGAGGTGTAAGACAGGGTGACGTTATATCCCCGAAACTCTTCACCGCTGCATTGGAAGACGTTTTCAAGCTTCTGAACTGGAAAGGATACGGTATTAACATCAATGGCAAGTACATCACTCACCTTCGATTTGCCGACGATATAGTCCTTATGGCTGAATCGCTGGAGGACCTAAGCACTATGCTCAATGCCCTCAATAGTGTTTCCCAACGGATAGGTCTTAAGATGAACATGGACAAAACAAAGATCATGTTTAATGTCCATGTCACATCTATGCCGGTAGTTGTTAGGAGCACTAAGCTCGAAGTTGTTGAAGAGTATGTTTACCTGGGACAAATAGTCCGACTAGGTAAGTCCAACTTCGACCGAGAGATCAATCGGCGGATTCAACTCGGTTGGGCAGCGTTCGGGAAATTACGGCACATCTTCTCGTCAGGTATACCTCAAAACTTGAAAACGAGACTGTACAACCAGTGCGTGTTGCCAGTGATGACCTATGGAACTGAGACGTGGTCCGTCACTGCTGGCCGTATGAGGAAGCTCAAGGTCGCTCAGCGAGCTATGGAGAGGGCTATGCTCGGAGTTTCTCTGCGTGATAAACTTAGAAATGAGGATATCCGCAATAGAACCAGAGTGACCGACATAGCCCAACGGATTAGTAAGCTGAAGTTGCAATGGGGCCGGCCATATAGCTCGAAGAACCGACAACCGATGGGGAAAAAATGTTCTCGAGTGGCGGACCAAGTGTAGGGTGCCCCCCACCCTCCCACTAGATGGAGTGACGACCTGGTAAGATATGCAGGAAATCGATGGATGCAGGTGGCTCAGGACCGTGCTTTGTGGCATTCCTTGGGGGAGGCCTAAGTTCAGCAGTAGACTTGTGAAGGGCTGTAATGATGATGATGATGAGATAGCGACGACCATCCACATGTTTACGGGTGCATCTGTAGATCCCATAGTGGTAATGCCGAAACAGACCTATTTATCGACCACGTCCAAATGGCGACAGATTCCTTGCTACAGCAGATCCCATCCGCAGAGATTGTGATACTCGGCGATTGTAACGCCCACCACGCCGAATGGCTCGTTTCATGTTTAACTTATCATGCGGGGAGATCTGTTCATGATTTTGCCATGGCATATGGTCTGACACAACTGGTAACTTCGCCTACGCGGATTCCAGATGTGGAACATCATGCACCTTCCCTGTTGGACCTTCTGCTGACCTCTCATTCAGATAGATATCAGGTCTCAGTCCACTCCCCTCTTGGCTCCTCAGATCATTGTCGAGTCCAGAGTGTGGTGCCACTCACACTAACATCGCGATTGCATTCTGCAGTTTGGCTATAAAAGCGACCGCTCAGACCCATCTAGCTATGCCCATCGCCATCACCTTGTTCTTCAAAATAATGGAATCCATTATAAGCTGCCAACTCATGCGGTCTTGAGGATCACCAGCTGATTAGTGACCGCTAATACGGTCTTCGTCGGGGTCGGTCAGCTGGTGATCTTCTGGTCTACTTGACTCATAAATGGGCGGAGGCATAAGAGTCCAAGTGTAGAGGCATTGGCCGTTAGTTTGGACATTGCGAAGGCCTTTCGATCGGGTTTGGCACAAAGCACTTCTGTCGGAGGTCTCTTTCTATGGGCTTCCCGAGAAATTGTGCAACTGAATCACCAGGTTTCTTGCAGATCGGAGCATCTCCACAGTTTCAAGGCACTCCCCTCGTTGCCTCAGCCAGTATCGGAATCCTCGGCGTCGTCATATCTAGTGACGTGCAAGTTTCGTGATCACTTGGAAGAGAAGGCCAAATTGGCCTCTAAAACGCTTTGCGTGCTCAGCAGAGCGGGACAATAAATCATGCCGGCACACCGCCTGCAACTTTACAAGGCGTAGGTTCGGCCTCACATGGAATACTGTTCCCATCACTGGGCTGGGGCTCCCCAGGGCTTTATTAAAAAATATAAAGCTGTTTTTGGTACCAACAGTATGGTTTTCTTTAAGAAATCTCTTCCTGATAAAACAGTATCTAACGCCTATGGCCAGCCACGCCACGCCCTCGCGACGCCGCCGCCGCCGAGAAAGTATTCAGGCCACGCCGTTGCCGTGGAATTGGCGTTCGGCGCTCATATCTACAACCCTTAGGACTAAGAAGAATGTCTTGTTTCCAGTAAAAACAGTCTATTCTTTCTAGTTCCTTGAAGTCGGCTTTCACATTTTTATTTTTTATTTAGTCTAATCTTTTCAAAACCACATCAAGAATTACTACAGTAATATCTAATATTGCCGACGAGATAACTATCTCTTACCTGGACAGTGAGCACACTATGATGCAGGAATGTTTCATTACATTAAAAGAGTTTGGACCTCCTTCTCAGTGGCCAATTATGATTACAAATGCAAAATCAGATCTAGCAGGACTTATTGTAAATGTTATTAATTAATTTCACATTACTAGGTAGGTTGGACTCCTTTTCTATCTATCTGTTAGTCCGTCTAGGTAGGCATTATACTTCTTATCTATTTCTACCGCCAAATAACGGTGCTTGCATTACGGTGTTCCGGTATGAAGGGTAAGAGCCAGTATAATGAGGTCATCTACGACTTTTTCTGCCATCAGTGTGGCGCCACTAGAAAGTGAGGTATAATACTTATTTGACAGATTTCATAGTGGGGAAGTTAATTTGTTCGGAAAATGTGAAAGTTATTGTTTCTTTTTGCATTATTAGCTATATTTTATATTAATAACATTAAAAATAAATAAACCAATCAACAGATATTCAAAAAAGTAGATAAACTAAAAAAGTTAAAAATGTGCAAAAAATTAAAGAACAAACCACTGACGCATTGTTTTATGTATTAATATAATACTTTAGAAACAGATAATTTTTTTTTAAAAAACAACTTCTCAATTCAATTACATTGTGTAAAAAAAAAACTTTACCTCAGTGTCAACTAGCGACATCTGGTGAGCAGAAAATTATTAGCCGTCATTACGGACTTTGAGGCAATCCACGTTAGTCCTCAGTGGTGACAAAATTCTTTAAGTATGAGTGTACTCAATCCGGAGATATTCCACAAAACCAGACTCCGATATATTTATAATAAACCTACGATTAAATTACATTTAAGTATTTTAATCTCCAAAATATCTTTTTTAGAAAACTATACCTGACCGCTACCATAAAGTTAATTGTCCAAACCAACAAGACGGATGCAGATTACGAATTCGTTCAACTGAGTTGGAAAATCATTTACAAGAATGTCCTTTTAATGAGATGGCTTGTCCGTTAACCGAGCTTTTTGGACGATGCTTCTGGAGAGGTAAGTTTTGTGGTAAGCTTGTAGCATTTTTATTAATTCCACCAGGAGATATATAATAAAAATGCTAAAAAGTATGTGGTATTGACAGCGACCCTATTTACTATATTACAAGTAGAGGTAGAGGCAATATAAATTATGTCCATATATAAATTAAATTTGTAACATTTAAATATATTATGTTGCTTTGGAAGACAATGTTGCATTACCATGCTTTTAGTAACTGTTGACTACGCCGCAAGTACTTTGTTCGAATCTCACCTCAAGCCGAAGAACAATGGCGAAATAATATTTCATAAAATTTTCAAGGGACTACAAAAGCCATCATTATATTTATATATTATAAATAAAAAGACATGCGTGAGTGTCGTGGAACACTGATTTAAAGTACTGACTGCTCTATATTAACTATGAATATATCCCCCCCCCCCCTCGCCTGTGACAGCCCAGCTCACGAATATATTTACTAGATTTTTATATTTTACTAGCTCTCAACCCCGCGGTTTTACCCACAATAAATCAAATTTTCCCGAGAAAATAATGCGTTTTCTCGTGTTAAAAGGTATTTGTCTATCTAACGGCCTAATGAAATCTGTTCAGCAGGCATATAAAGGTAAGAGACAGACCGACTAAGTTCTTTCGCAATTATATTAGTAGTAAGTGTATACATATAGTTGTTTTTAATATTCAATTACATGTTAAGCTATTTTATCAAGTATTTCACTTACAGTCTGTATTAACTAACTTTAAAGAATAGGGGCAAACGAGCATGCGGCTCACCTGATGGTGAGTGTCGACCATCGCCCATGAACAACTATAATACCAGAAGAATTGCAGGTGCTTTACCGGTCTTTTAAAAATGAGTAACCTCGTTTCTTGAAGATCTCTAAGTCGTATCGGTCCGGAAAAATCGCCGTGGTAGATGATTCTACAAAGAAGTCTTTCGAGGAAGAAAACTCTTAGTAAATCGTACAGTCACGGTGGACCTTCAAGCATCATATTTTATTGTTTATCATACTTTAATGTTTCTTTTATAAATTATAGAATTAAATACCTATTTTATAAAATTGCGGCATTTGAAAAAAGTTAATTTCCGCAGGTAAAATAAATCAATTGGACAGTCACTTTGCCGACGTCCATCCTGAACATCAACAAGCTGCTGTAGACAAAGAATTGATAGTCCAGAGTACGGAAAATGATTACAGAATTGTTCATTTAGTTCTGATCGGAAACTTTCACTTTTTATTTCATATAAAAATCGATACTTCTGAACAAATGTTATACATGTCTACTCAGCTTTTGGGTACCGGGTCTAGTGCTGCCAAGTGGAACTACGAAATCCACATTTACAACAAAAAACAACCAAGGAGAAAATATCAGTATTTAGATGTGTGCCTGTCAAATGGTACTTCAATTGACGAGATATTTAGGACGAATAAATGTGCAGTCCTTCCTCTAGCATACGTTACTACCTTTGAAAATAATGGTGCTATCACTTATAAATTTTATATAAAAAAGCGAATTGATGAATAACAAAACATTAATAATAAGATCAGAAGTAGTTAACAAATTTATTACCAAATTAAGAAATTAAGTTATAAACAATGTGATTATTAATATTCATAATTTATAAAAAATAATTAATTTCTTTATTTAATAACAACACATTGCAATAACCAAGTTATAGTCCCGACTCTTTCTCTTTAACATTGTACACATAATATGTATATCATACATTGTGATTTATGATAGTAGTATATAAATAAATAAATACATAAGACACCCATAAGTTAATAATATATTATTGTCTTGTATCGTTATCTCATTCTAAAACTTTCATCCAAAATTTGCAATAAAAAGTTATTTCGTTTATAGGTAAGAAAATAATATTTTTAATAAATTATAAATAAGTATAGTAAAAAAACTAAAAAACTTTTTAACTATTTTCATTATAGATGTTTTCTTATCATTATCATATCATTATTCTACCTTTTCTTCATGTTTATTGATTTAAATAGTTTTATGCTATGAAACTTTCTGCGAAGGACTGTCATTTACATTATTTGTTTCTATGTAACATAACCCAAAAACCATCTCAGAAATAAGAGCAGGCCTGTGACCAGCAACGAGAGAACGGAGATAGTACGCTCAACCTAACTTTGAACGGATTTTTTCACGATCGAGGCCTCATCCTTGACCTCCACCTACACACTGAATTCCCACCAGAGTCCTTCACCCGAAAACCAAATTCAGATTATATCACACGCCAGTCCCCCATAGATGTTGCTACAATACAAATAGAGGTAAAATTTTGTTGACAATTACTTAAAATCGTTAATTATAGTTTATATTATTTGGCACACTGAAACGACTGAATAGGACTTTTCTAAAATATTTTAAATTTAGAAATGTTTACTCACTTCTAGCTTATTTATCTATTTGTAATACATAACAAAAAAATTACAATATTAAGATTTTTTTCGGTTTGTAACAATGTTCTTATCTTATTGTATTATAGTTTATGTTCCTACGTTTCTTTTAAGTAATTTTTGTGTTTTTTTGTGAGTTAATAATAAATAAATAAATGATTTACTTTTAATATAACTTTTCTTTATACTAAACCGCGTACACATGTGGTCTTAGTTCATACTATTAAAATATGGCACATTCGTGGCATTCGTATGCACAATGCGGCCAAAGCTAAGTTTTGCAAATCCCGTCGCAGAAGATCTCAAAAATTTTTCGATCACACTCTTAATCTCATGGTGAAATTGCAGTCTTCAACAGATTTAATAGCTTACAGCAACTGAACAGGCAAGATTTAATACGATTGGGGAATGAAGCTGCTCGAGTTCGTAGTAATTACTTCTGACTCCCTACACGTATCCCCTAAGTAGTGCTAAATAAGCAGCAACAAATTCTGGTGGAAGTTTTGTCCTCTACTAGTGGGAGGTCCGGCCGGGGGTTAGTTACTACCTACCAGGCAGTCACTGCCAAATGACGCAAGTCGTGTTCCGGTATGATGTTACGCATAAGATCCGCGACGAGGCGGTCATTTCTGAGTGTCAGGTGCCTGCGTATAAAAGCTAGCGGGATCCGAAGCACGATTGCACCGCTGCTGGCCGACCGAAGATCATTGGGGACCTATTTAAAGAACCAGCCAACATGAACGCAGGGCAGTCCCTGTCCTTTAAACAAAAACCTAGGATAGCTCCACCATGCCTGTTGGCAACTGGAGGAGATGACTTGGTAGCAATTTCCAAGGAATTTTAGCCGTCCCCATGGACTTCATGCTAGACAAATGGCATCATCGATGCTGTAACTCTGTTTTTATGCTTCGGTTAAGTGTATTACATCTCGTCCAACTGCCATTATTTCAACCTATTCAAACCACCTCATAATGAAAAAAAGGATAAAGACTAGTAAGTTTTTACAGCGGTTACACCCCCTCTCCATCAAAATGCACATGATAAATATTGGAGGTGTGCATTGTAATCCCAACGCAGTCCACTATCACTTGAGACTGACAGCCCGTACTTACTCTTGACTCAGACGCAGATCAGATTTCCTTTTGATGCTACGTACCTTTGGCACAGAATAGATAATAGTACCTATAAGTAAAGAAGAATCATGCTCTGATGTCAAACTTGCGAGTTTAAACCTAGTTATAACGTCGCTAATGTTCATAATACTTTGCACGCCTCGGATGCGACCTTCGTTAACATAGCCTACCATTGCGGCGCGCGTATTAAATCAAAATGCACCTTACATCCGCGTGCGAGTCTGTTTCGCTTAGCCCGTTACGCGCTTTTGTTAAGGCCGCTCCTATTGTAGTGTTAGGTCTTGTGAGAAAACAAATTGAATCTTTTGATATTAGTTGGTAGTAGAATACACCGAGATGTTATGCAATGTATTAGTAATTTGCTGTTAATAGGAACATTATTGTTCAATATGAGGTAGGTTAAAGGTATTACCTACTACTACTATAAGTAGCGGCACGAAAGTCTAGCGGTGACCGTTATTGCGCATAAGTCGCGCAGATTGGCTCGTACGTATCGTTCACACGCGCTGATTTGCTCTCCAGTCGCATTCGTGCAATACAATTCGTGCGCGTCCTCTCCACGTTTCGTCCAGCGCTAGACTTACGTGCCGCGACTTATACCTACTAATACTTTATTACTATTACGTGCTGTCTAAAGCCGCTAGAGTAGATAGCATCACCCGATGTCTGCCTTTGGGTGTCGTAAAAGGCGACTAAGGGCATCTAAAAAGTACTGATTATCTTGTACTCCGTCCATCGATCCGCAGTGGGACACGTAGTGGACTATTGCTCAAACCACCTCCGTATCTGTGTCTCAGCAGTGGGTCAATATTTAGGTTGATGATGATGATGTTACGTTATTTTTAATTTAAATTTACTTAGGTACAACAGTTTTAGATTGCTTAAGTATATAATTTGTACATGAAAGAATGATATATGCCCAGAATAGCAGGTTATAAGACTTCTAACATTGTAACATGACACCTAAAACTGCGAAGCTGTGGTCTTGTCACTTATCAAATAATAAATCAGTAACTATGGCGTCAGTAACTAGACACCTACCTAATTATCTAGATCTACCAATAAATAATAATATCTTACTTTTTGAGATCCTTAGGAACAGTTCCTCTTGTTATTTGAATAAAAACTCAAAAATAAATATCAGAAGTGCTTAAATACTTATAAGAGAAAAATACTTGTTTGTTAACGTAAGGCGCGCGCGTACAACCTCACTAAATTAGCCTCTTGTAAGAGGCCGCGCAGCGTAGGTCCGGTGGCTAAAGCTCGGGGTGAGACAAGCTTGCCTTGGGTTACCCTGGGTACACAACATCAAGAACATAATTTCCACCATCGCGCCGGAGTATGTGTGAACGTCTGCAATAATATCTGCTGCAAGTGTCTCCGTCACCTAGAAGTTCCCAATTTCTTCATTATTTGCGTATTGATAGACACTGAAATGGATAAAATTATTTATTATCTTGTTTATCGATAGCTCAAATGTGACCTGAAGAAAGTAGGCTATTTGAACATCTCAGTGAGGCCTCTGATGTGGCTTTAAAGCGTTTTCATGTCGCATATACATACATCACAACTGCTACATCAGGACTGGCTATTCCCGTACCAAAAGACCACGTTGTAATAGAGGCGTAGAATTTCGCGTTATCGCCGAGGCTCCCAGCTGATAAAACAAGCTACTAGGGTACCTGATGTGGATGGGCACACAGCCAACTGCCTAGAATTATGATATACCTATAGATGTTCTGGTTAGCTCCCTTCAGGAAGTTACTACCACTGTATAGTGAAATCTGTCTCGTTATATTTCCCACCTAATTAAACCTTCAAGTGCGGCGAATGTGGCAATACAAGTTAACAATTTTTTTGCATTTTTATTTAAAAAAAAATACAAAACATATACTTACTGCGGTTCTAAGACTGTGCTTTGTGGCATTCCTTAAGGGAAGCCTATGTTTACCAAGTCCACTACTTGTGAAGGGATGATGATGGATTTGATAATAACCTAGTCCCCTTATCGACTAACAACTAAAAAAACGCATTGCAAAAAACATCAGGCAAATTTAACAGACTAGTAGCTATTTAGAACAAAATTATTACCTATTGAAACAAAATATTAAAAATTATTGTGATTATTGAAATTTGGTTATTTTTTCTTCACTCCACATAATGAAAATTCTATAACGAAAAATGTACGGTCCCTCGAGTTTCTTTATAAACTTTACATTGCAGTTATTTTGCTGTGAACTATTATTATCCAGTCCTTTTTCGACCCTTTTTAGGGGAACGCGTTGTTCAGGATGGCGCCCACCACACACGGCATTGATGCTTACTTTTAAGATATATCTACAAAATTATATTGTTCAGTTCAAATTTAACCTTATTAACTATAGTTCAGTTGAGGTTTGCATGCTAGTGGATTTCAAGTTAGTAATCGAGTTTTATTAAATCACCCAACTCTCATCAGTAAGAATATGTACATTCAGAAACTCTTTTCTATAGATTAAGGGTGACAAACGAGCACACAGTCCACCTTATGGTAAGTGGATGCTGTGGCCCATAGGCACCTACATCAATTCAAAATGCAGATGTGTTGTCACCCGTGAGGACTAAGATGAAATGCCTCATTTCCAATAATAAGGATATCCTGCTCTCCACACTCATCATACGAAAAATAGCAGCAGTGTTATTTCAGGCTGGTATTCTGTGAGACGACCCATTCGTGATCTAACCATAATAATCTTTCATATTCAAGTCCACCCCAGAACGGGCAGCGCTCCACAATTTTCCGTTATTCCAATGCCTGACAAACAAGCGTCTAGCACATTTGACGTAGCTCCTCGTAGTCATACCAGCTTCCTAGCATTTCTCATCACTCAATCACACAATCGTCTGTTACTGTTACAGCCTTATCAAAAGTCCACTGCTGAACAACGGCTTCGTGGCTCAGTGGCTTAGCAATGAGTTGTTGCGCTGGGGGCCGCGGGTTCGAATCCCGCACGGAAAAAGTATTTGTATGGCCTACAAATAATTGTTCCGGGTCTGGATGTTTGTCCTCGTGCAATTTACGTTTGTAAACTGCCTCCACGACACAGGAGAAAATCCTAGTGTGGGGGTATCGTTTTCTAAAAAAAAAAAAGAACATAGGCCTTCCTCATTGATTACCTTATATTTGCCATAGTTGCTACACTGGGCAACCGCAGTTTTTTTTAATTTTTTAGAAACTAATCCTCTCAGAATATGAATTAATAGATGACGTCACTACTTCTTATTAGATGATAACAAATGAAACATTTTACACATTTAAAGAAACAAAATTTACTGTATCATTTATCATGTCATTTAACTCTACAAGTTTACTACGTTCTTTTCTTTCAATTAAATATACACTTGTACATAATAACTTCTAGTCGCTTAACACAAAATAAGTGGGTTTAAGTTAAGAAAGTTTAGTAACTTTCGTAATGAACACATGGTAGTCGTATTTTAAAATTTTACACTTTTTAGCAAGTACACTTGTCAAAGAAACAAGCTACTGGACGGCATTAAAATGAGATTTCTTTAGAGTTTTAACTAGAACATAATATTTAAGTATCTTTAAAAGGTGGGCCGCCAAACTGTTTGTTTTTTTTTTGCAATTGAATTGTTTATATAGTATAACTATTTTAGAAACGATATTTGTTCAATCTTCAATGAGTTATAATAAATAGCTATGAATCGGGCATAGGACTAAACAGTGAGTTTCATTTTTTTTTTATTTAATAAATAATCTCAATTTGGAGATAATCGCGGTGTATATAGACTAGATTAATCTGGGCACTAGGACACTGCCTATGGGTCCCGCGGTCTTAGTAAAAAGCATATTTACGTGATATAGGAAGTTGGAAAAAGGGATACAGGCCCGTCTTTCAGAATGCTTTACCTAATGGCCTCCTACAAGGCTTAACAGAACATATGGTTAATAATTATTACATATTTACTTTTTCTGATTAGCTTTACCATCATTCCTGCGAAAGCGAAGTTAATTGATATTACTTAAGTCCC